GGGGGGGGGGGGGTTGGAAAAGGGGGGGGGGGGGGGGGGGGGTTGTTTGGGGGGGGGTTTAGGGTGGGCGTGTTTTAAGGGGAAAAAAAAAAAATTTTTTAAATAAAGGGGTTGGAGTTGGCAAGACAATGAAGGGTTGGGAACCCGGGGGGGGATATTAAGGGGAAAATTTTAAAAATTGAAGGAGGGGTGAAGTTCAGTTAAAAAAACGTTTGAAAGAAAATTTTGGGAAAGGTTTTTAATTTGGGAATTTTTTTTGGGGCCAATTTGGGGGAATAAATAAATAAAAAAAAATAACCTTTTAAAAAGGCGATAGAACAGGTCAAGAAGGGAAATTTTTGAATTAGCTTAAAAGGAAAAAAGTTTTGTAACTGAAGGAAGTTTTTTGAACCCTAGATTTGAGGAAAGTTTGTCCAAGTATTTAAAGAAGGGCTTTTTTTTTCCATGATTTTTGGGGGTTTTTGTCCCTTTTGGGAAAAAAAGAACAGATTATTGCCATTTTTATTTGGGAGTATTGTAAAAGACTTTTCAGGAAGGCAGTTTTTTGCCACTGTATTCAAGGGGGGTTTTTCCCTTTTTTCATGAGGCAGTTTTTTTTTTCCAAAATATTTGAAGGAGTTAGTAAACCCCAACTTTAAGAGGCGATTATTTTAAAAAAACGTAATGGGAAGTTTTTGACAAATTTTTGAAAGGGAAGGGTTTGTTTAAAAAGTATTAATTACAGATTTTGTTTTTTAAAAAGGGCAGAAAAGACCCATTTTAAAAGGGAGATTTAAAATTTAGAAAGGGAGATTATTTCCCAAAATAGTAATGAGGAGAGAATATTTGAAAATGAGAACCTAATTTACATGTATTTAAAAAGGCAGTAAACCAAGATGAATGGGACGTTTTTACCCTGAAAAAAGGGAAAAATTTTTTAAAAAATTTTTAAAAACAGGAAGATTAAAAAAAGTAAAAGGGAGATTTTTGTAAAGGGGAAATGAAAGGGGGGGAAAAAAAAATTTTGAAGTAGGCCGTTATTTAAAAAGCGAGGGGGTTTTGTAAATGGGGCTGTAATGGAAAAAATTTTGGGCATTAAATGAAATGGGACAGAAATTTTAATAAGAAAGGGAAAAAGGGGGAAAATTTTGTTTTAGGAAATTTTTCCCCAAATCTGAAAGGGGTTTTTTTTTTAACCCAGTCTTTTTGAAAAGGGGAAAGTAAAGTAAATGGGGGGAGTTTTTGGGCCCCCAAAAAAATTTTGTTTTGGATTAAAAAGGCGAATTTTAAAAACCCTAGTAGACATGAGGACAGATTTTGTAACATAGTACGTATTGAGGACAGATTTTTGTACCACTAGTATTTACATGAGGCCAGATTATTGTACCACGAGACTTAAATAAAGGACAGATTTTTGTACCACTGTATGACTGAGGAAAGGTTTATTGTACACTAGTATTACATGAGGACAGTTATTGTCCAAGTACTTCTGAGAAAAGATTATTGTACATAGTTAACTGAGGAAGATTATTGTACCTTTTAGTACTACAGAGGAAGATTATTGTCCATAGTATTAATGAGGCAGATTATTGTCCCCATATATAAAATGGGACAGTTATTGTACACTAGTATCACATGAGGAAGATTTTTGTACCCTGACTGTACATGAGGAGTTTTTTGTACCACTGTTTTACATGAGGACAGTTATTGTCCACTGTTCTTACTGAGGCCAGATTTTGTACCACTAGTACTCTAATGAGGAAGTTATTTACCCTAGTACTCTAAAAGGGGACAGATTTTTGTCCCACTAGTCCCTTTACATGACCCCCGATTTTGTACCCTATACTTCATGAGGAAAATTTGTCCACTAGTATCTACAGAGGACGATTATTGTACAAGTACGTACATGAGGAAAGATTTTTGTCCCACTAGTTTCAAACATGAGGACAGATTTTGTACCCAGTACTTACATGAGGCAGATTATTGTACCACTAGTACTACATGAGGACAGTTATTGTACCACTAGTTTTTAAATGAGGAAGATTTTGTACAATAGTACTTACATGAGGACGATTTTGTCCAAAATTCTACATGGGAAGTTTTGTCCACTAGTATTACATGGGACGATATTTTCCCATGTCTTTAATGAGGACAGTTATTGTCAAGTACTCACATAGGACGTTTTGTACCAAATTAATGAAATTTTTTACCCAACTTTTTTTTTTTTTTTTTTTTTTTTTTTTTTTTTTTTTTTTTTTTTTTTTTAAATTTTTTTTTTTTTTTTTTTTTTTTTTTTTTTACCAATGAAGGACGATTTTTGACATAGTACTTAAGAGGAAGTTATTGTACCACTGTACTCTCTGAGGACAGATTATGTCCCACAAAAATTTATGTTACATGAACAAATTTTTGTCCCTAGTACTCTCTGAGGAAGTTATTGTACCTAGTACGTACATGAGGCCGAAATTGTACCATGTACTCCATGAGGACGTTTTGTACCACTAGTACTTACATGAGGACAGTTATTGTACCACAGTCCCTTTTCATGAAGGCCCAATTTTGTACCACTGTACGTACATGGGACGATTATTTTAAAAAAACAAAAGTGTCGTGCCCCTAAACCCAAAAAAACCGTACTGCTGCCTTGTTACTAGCAGTAAGTAGGTCCCGGGGTGTTGTTACTTACACCTGTGTCGGGTTTTCCCCCTGCATTTAAGTGGGCCCTGGGGTTAGTTCCCTTTAACGCTGCCTTGTTCCCCTGCGTAAGTAGGTCCTGGGTGTTTTTACCCTTACACCTGTGTCTTGTTCCCCTTGCGTAATGGGGCCTGGGTGTTGGTTCCTTACACCTGTGCCCTTGTTCACCTACAGAAAAGTAGGTCCCGGGTGTTAGTTCCTTACACCTGCTGCCTTGTTCACCTGCAGAAAGTTTCCCTGGGTGTTGTTCCCTTACCCCTGCTGCCCTTGTTCCCCTGAAAAAGTGGTACTGGGTGTTGTTCCCTTACCCCTGCTGTCCTTTTCACCTAGCATAAGTAGGTACGTGGTGTTAGTTCCTTCACCGTAGTGTTCCCCTAGCAGTAGTGGTCCGGGGTGTTATTTACCTACCCCTGCTGCCCTTGTTCACCTAGCAGTATGTAGGTACCTGGGGTTAGTTCCCTTACACCTGCTGCCCTTTGGTTCCCTGCGAAAGTAGGACCTGGTTTTAGTTACCTTACCCCTGCTGCCCTTGTTCACCTAGCAGTAAGTGGTTCCTGGGGGGTTGTTACCTTACACCTGCTGTCCTTTCACCTTGCAGAAAGTAGGTAGGTGGCTGTTGTTACCTTACACCTGTCAGTGTTCACCTGAGAAAAGTAGGTCCTGGGGGTTAGTTACCTTCCCTGTGTCCTTGTTCCCCTAGCAGAAAGGGGGACGGGGTGTTAGTTACCTTACACCTGCTGTCCTTGTTACCTAGCGTAAGTAGGCCCCTGGGTGTTAGTTACCTTACCCTGCTGCCCCTTTCACCTAGGAAAGTAGGTACCTGGTGTTGTTCCCTTACATGCTGTCATGTTCACCTGCAGTAAGTGGGTACTAGGTGTTAGTTACCTTACACCTGCTTGTCCTTGTTAAACCAGCAGAAAGTAGGTACCGGGGGTTTTAGGGGACTGGTGTGGGTGGACCCCGGGGGGGAAAAAATTAAAGGCCCACAAGGGAAAATAAGACAAAAATTCCCTGGGTTATCTGGGTTGGAAACCCCCTTCCCCCTGGGTTATCCTGGGTTTAAACCCCTTCCCCTGGGTTATGGGGGTTGGAAAACCCTTCCCTGGGTTTCCTGGGTTGGAAACCCCTTCCCCTGGGTTATCCTGGGTTGGGAACCCTTCCCTGGGTTCCCTGGTTGGGAACCCTTTCCCCTGGGTTATCCTGGGTTGGAAACCCCTTCCGGGTTTTCCCTGGGTTGGTACCCTTCCCCTGGGTTATCCTGGGGGGAACCCTTCCCGGGGTTATCTGGGTTGGAAAACCTTCCCCGGGGTTTTCCCGGGGGTTTGGAAAACCCCTTCCCTGGGTTACCCGGGGTTGGAACCCTTCCCGGGTTACCCTGGGTTGGTAACCCTTCCCGGGGTTTACCGGGGTTGGAAACCCCTTTTCCTGGGTTATCTGGGTTGGTAACCTTCCCGGTTATCCGGGTTGGAAACCCCTTCCCTGGGTTACCCGGGTTGGTAACCTTCCCGGGGGGTTTCCCGGGTTTTTGGAAAACCCCTTCCCTGGGTTATCCCTGGGTTGGTAACCCTTCCCTGGGTTATCCTGGGTTGGTAATTTTCCCTGGGCTATCCTGGGTTGGTAACCCATCCCGGGGTTTTCCCTGGGTTGGTAACCTTCCCTGGGTTACGGGGTTTGGGAAACCCCTTCGGGTTTCCTGGGTTGGAAACCCCCTTCCCTGGGTTTCCGGGGTTTGGAAACCCCTTCCCTGGGTTACCGGGTTGAAAACCCTTCCTGGG